GACTTTCAGAACAGATGCCTTTTAAGGACACTGGAGAGGAAACTAACTTGCTCACTGATTTCCTCAGCACAAGACATCAGTCAGCATCATGGAACTGACAGGCGCAAATCCCCTTGCCATCCACTGTTGTACACATTTCTTATTTACAGTTTTCATTATGTGATTATATATATGAATATATTGTATATATAGACAACATTTTGTATGTTTATGTTACATTTTTATCATTTCAAAAGTATGTATTTCATATTTCTTGGACTATTTTTTAGCTGTTATTCAATTATGCATTTTGTATAACATAGGATTTAGTAATAAAAGCCTACCTGTGCACATTTTCCCGGCCTCATGTGCGCCTTCCTTCTGGGAGTCTCCAGCCAGAAGAGAGGCTCTGGGGGAGGAGACCTTCCTCTTTCTCTCTTCACTGTGGCCTTGTCCCAAGGGTGTCTTGTCCTGCACTTGAAGGCTGGGAATGAGCACGGCTTGATGAACAGAGGTACTCACCCTGACGGGCCATAAAATCCGATGTGGTCTCACAAGACTGGTGGTCATGAGAAGGGACCCCTGATGCCCAGAGCAAGGCCTGGAAAGGGTCACAATGATAATGATGGAGAGGCCAGTGGGCGGAGCCTCAGACTGGACCCATGCAGGCGAGACCTGGACCAACTCTGCCCCTACTCTCCAGACTGTCATTTTCTCTAGATCTAACTCATACGACACATCACTTCCCAACTGTGCAGCAGTGGCATCATATTGACAGCCTGCATACCATCATGTGGGTGTGTCTACGCCTCTGGGACAAGAGGGAACTGCAAACCAAGCCTTGTTATTCTCCAGGGAACAATCAAAAGGAATGCCTTCCTGTCTTCCTCCCTCCCTTTCCTCTTTTCTTCCTTTCTACAGCCAAATCTACCCCTTTTCCCTCCTCGTAAAATACACAGTGTGGTCCTCACTGGTCTCACCTCAGAACCTCAGGCTCTCCAGTGAGTCTCAAAGGCCCAGGTGTGGAGAAGGTTCAGCATCCCTTTCTTCAATACCAGAAGTTCTGCTTCCTATGAATTAGAATTTCTTATGTCTGAACAAGACTTTACAAAAAATTATGTGTATGGGTGTTTTGCCTGTATGTATATCTGTACAACATGTGTGTGTGTGTGTTTAAAGTTTAAGAATCAAGATTCCTTGAGAACTCCCAATTCCAACAGAATCCGTGGTAAAATATCACAAGCTCTACCTGGATGCAGGCTACGCAGTGAGGAGCTGGCCTCAGGATGCCAAAGGATCCAGCGGTGCAGTTGGATTGCAGTTTAGTGCACTGGGGGGAATGGCTGTTGTTTTGTTTGTTGTTATTAGACAGGGTCTCACTGTGTAGTTTAGGCGAATCTTACACTCATCATTCAGAATACTAGGGTCCCAGGTAGGCCCAACAAGGCCCAATCTAAAATTATTGTGCAGCCCTGCTCAAGAGACACTGTGGAGCATTCAAGGTTACATCTGCCCAGGGAGTCAGGCTTCCCTGTGCTGGGACAGCGCAATTGGAGCAAAGCCAGTGTGATGGTGATCTGACAGTCAGGCAAAGGGACTGGTGGCACCACACACACCCCAGGACTCTGTGTGTGTGAGTTCCTTCTTAGCTTCCTGTACAGCTTTTGCCCGGAGCAAGGAAGCAGGGGCAAGGAGGGGAGGATGGAGAGATAGGGGGTGGGAATGGTAGGTAGGGATAGGGGGGTAATGGTAACCTCACTGGTGTCATCTGGGCAGCGTCTCCTTTGCCCTCTTCTCTAAGCCATCATTCTGGATAAAAGTTCAGGCAATGGCACTTTTTGAAGTTCCCTAGGTGATCATGGTGTGCAACCGAGGCAAGGATCACTGTTCCAAAGTGGCACGGATGCCTTTGGCTCTCTCTCTTTGTGGCTGGTCCATGCACACAGAGGAATCAGCGGCCTCAGAGCACACCTGCCACAGAACACAGGCCAGGGGCTGGCATCCTCCGCACCCCGTGCACCTACAGCCTCCAGCAAGTCACCGGCACATAGGGAGATGAGGGTTCTCAAGCAAAAAAGGCCACCTGGCTCCCAGAGAAAGTGTTCGACAAGCCTTGAAAAAGGTCATTCCTGCCCTTAGAGAGAGTCAGGAGCCAGGGGTGCCATGATGAGATTGCCATTCCCTGAAGCGAAAGGTTAGGAGGAATGGAGCCGTGGCAGGGCCTTTCCAACAACTTTCTCTTAGAAGGGTAGCTGTCAACACGTGGGGAGAGCACTACCTGTCCACAGGTAACTGCTGCCCGGTGGATTTACAACAAGAGCATGAGGTTAAAGGGGAAGAATGAGGGAGGGCGGTGTCCTAGTCAGGGTTACTACTGCCGTGATGAAACACCATGACCAAAGCAACTTGGAAGGGAAGAGCTTACTCAGCTTACACTTCCACATCAATGTTCATCACTGAAGGAAGTCAGGACAGGAACTTAAAGATGGCAGGAACCTGGAGGCAGGAGCTGATGCAGAGACCATGGAGGAGTGCTGCTTACTGGCTTGCTCTCCAAGCCTTGCTCAGCCTGCTTTCCTACAGGACCCAGGAACTCTAACTTGTGTGAAGTTGACGTAAAAGTCACCCAGCACAAGAGGTGTGAGGAGAGGAAGGAATGAGAGGGAAGGAGGAAAAATTAACAAAAAGAAAAAAATGGATGACCCAGCGGAAGAAGCAAGCTGACAACCACATGAGCGTGTATCAGACCTGGCTACTGTAAGCACGGATCTCAAACACGCAGCATTGACACCGTCCGGAATACGTCTCATTGCTGGCTCTCAGACCAGCCAGACCCACTCAGTCTGGATTCTAACAAGATACCCAAGTGATTTGTGTGCGTGTTATCATTTGGGAAGCACTTTGGTACGACAACAGTGCATCCTCAGTCCAGCTAGCTCCATCCCAGTCACACCCAGGACTTTATAAATCAGCAGGCTACTGCGTGGCTGTTATCCCCGCGCCTAGGAGAAGGCAAGAGGTTCTGGAGTTCAAGGACAATGGACTACAGAGGAAGGCCTTGTATCAAAAAATCAGAAGTAAACTATAAAAAAAGGAACTTTAATAACAATGTCTGGATTTGAGTCTGGGCATGCCTGTGAAGGATGAATGGAAGGATAGAGACTCGGCCTGAATGTGGGTGGCACCATCCCATGGACCGGGGGACCAGCCTGAGAAAGACAGGAGAAAGGAGAAAGCCAGCCGCCGAGTGCCAACTTTGGCCTCTCTCTCTTTCTGTGGATACAGAATGACCAGACATCTCATGCTCACTCCTGCTACGCCATCCTGAGCTGTCCTGATCACCATCCTGTCCCCATCGTGATGGACTACATGCTCACACCGAGCTGAGATTCACTCTTCCTTCTGTCAGATATACTGGTCAAGAAACGAGAAAGGTAACTGATTCCAGGCACCAACTCAATTAAATCCGAGCTTTTGAGATTCAAGCTGGGACATCTTCAGAATGTCAGAGGACCAGTAGGCAGATCATCAGAGCTCAGGGCCTCAGCCCAGCCCCAGTGCCAACAGTGACTTCTGGAAGGTGTGGTGAGCCCCGCCCTTCTCACCCTGCCCTTCTGGCACCGCCCTCCTCACCGCCTCGGAGAGGCCTGCTTCCAGGTCTACAGGCATCACTGGGTGGAGCACCATGATGACTGAAGAGGCCTGATGTAAACTCCCGGTATATTGCCAGCCTCTCTCAATGACCCAGGACCAGGGGACTCCAGCCCAGACAGTCCCCAGGATCAGTATGACCAGAAGCCTCCATGCTTTCTGGGTATACCAGGCTACCTCATCGTTCCAAAGCCCTAGCTTGCAGGAATCTGCGGTTCACAAAGAGCTCAGCTTCTGTGAAAAGCAAGAATTCCATTTAATTGACAATGTTTCTTCATCCCGCCCTTCCCTCAGGAGAAAACCCAATTAGGAAGCCAGTCCATATGGAAGGCCCAGGATGTACAGTTTCTTCAAGAAAGGGGCCTTGGGAAGCGAGAAGTCCAGGCCTCATGGAAAGGGATCGGGGCTGGAGGAGGGAAGGGAGCCCAAGAGGACCCCATCTAGAAAAGTGGCAGACATTAGCGACACCCAGGAAAGGAGAGGATGTGCAACCAGTTTCATCTCTTCTTGGTTCTTGGTCAGCTCTTCCTCTAGCCATTGCAGGCAAGCCACGATCTGTGAGAGACACCATCCAACTCAGAAATTGATGCTTTCTCAGAAAACTTTCTCAAAAGTGGGAAGTCGTGAAGGCGACAGAGACCAGGCCAGGCAGAGGCAAGGTTGGGGAAGTGAGATCATGAAGACAATGGACACAGAGGTCCTCCTTGCCCTGGGGACCATGGTTCCAGGCCTCTAGCTCCAGCTGGGTCCTGCCTTGCCTGCTGATGAATACAGAGTCTACGAGTTCATGGGTAATGACTCATGACTGGACTCCATGTTCATAGGTGATGACTCATGACTGGACTCCATGTTCATAGGTGATGACTCATGACTGGATTCCATGTTCTTGATGTGCAATAACAAGGCACAGCAGAGGGCAGGGGTTCCCAGGGAATAGCCTGTGCTCCCATTGCAGGCCCCTCTGAGCCTCCTGCCTCCCAGAAGTCAAAGACAACTGGAGGTCAGGGCTCACGGACCAGGCCTCAGAGCACTGGTTGATTGGTTTCTAAGCAAGGACTTCACTACAGGGAAGTAGGCCGAGGTTCCATATCAGCGTCTGTGCTTCAAGATCCCTTAACTCTGGGGAGGGGAGTCCCCAAAACCAGCTTGGAGGCTGACGTGGAGGTAGTCAGAGAGCTCTGCCTCTCTTCCTTTCTGCTCAGGAAAGCGTGGGAGGGGCAGGGGTGGCCAGTCTCCAGAAGGCAGCTCCAGACAGTATGTGACCCTGGGCTGGGTGACAGAGGAAAGGTGGGTTCTGGTTGATGGGTGTCCTGGGGAGCAGGCTCGGGGGCCCAGCTGCACGAGCCTCTCCCGGAGCTGCTGTGGCATCACTATATCGCTGGGATCCATTTGTTGTCCTCATTGTAGAGGAAGGATTGCTTCCCTGGGATCTCTGGCTTGTATGTGGCTGAGGAGAAAGAAAGAAAAGGCATCAAAATAGAAAGACGTGGCTGCAGGGCCCGGACCAAGTCTCAGAGCTGGGAAGGGTGAGGGAGCCCTGCTCCTGCCCCTCAGCCTACACACCCCTCTTCCCACAGGGAGAGGAAGCAGCTGCAACTGGCCTCATGGTATTTTTTTTTAAGGGTAGAGGTCACCTTCAGGTATCTGCCTCTATCCCAGTCCACTTTTTTTTTTTTTCCTTGTAGTTTTTCGAGACAGGGTTTCTCTGTGTAGCTTTGATGCCTGTCCTGGAACTAGCTCTTATAGACCAGGCTGGGCTTGAACTCATAGAGATCCACCTGCCTTTGCCTCCCAAATGCTGGGTTTAAAGGTGTGCACCACTACCCCCTGGCTCCACTTTTATTTCGAGTTAAGGTCTCCCACCGAAACCTTCATCCCCCGCCCCCCTTCCCGTCTCTGTCCCGGGTCACAGGTTCACACTATCAGTTCTAGCTTTTGCATGGGTGCTGGGGATCCAAGTCTGGTCCTCATGCTTGCCCAGCCAGCACCTGACCTATGGGGCCACCTTCCCAGCCCTGTTACATGGCTCTACTGGCCGAGGCTGCCCTCTGACCATCTTTGACTATATATAGCTTCTATAACAGAACCAACTTTATAATACCACTTCCTAGAAACTGAAATGACCATTTCAAGTAAAACAGTATTCTTAAAGAAGAGAGGAAAAATTGCCAGAAAACTGAAAGCCATGGCCATCCAAGACATATTTCTCTAGCAAACAAGACTAGGGAGCCACAGCCCCAGGATCCCTCTCATATCCTCTCAAGAAACTAAGGAGAGGAGTCCATAGGTCCAGGCAGACTTCTGCCTGCTGGAGGCACCACAATGGATGTGTACATGTGCGTCCTCTCTGCATACCCACAGGATCATCATGATGGAGGGGACCACAGTGACAGGAACGGCCCTGCTGGAGCACTGGCCTCCCTCCCCAGTGTCCCCTACCACTTCTTTGCCTATGGGTAAAAGAGCAAGGGGGGACTCTCTCCTGCCAGACTGATGCCTCTGGAGACCCTCAGTCACCTCGGGGCTACCCAGAATGGGAGTGTCAACAGTGCTTGCCTAATGACTGAGCATGAAAGACAAGGTGGCTTCCTGTCAGTTCTGCTTTCCAGTCCCCGTGCGTATGGCATTGTCAGAGATAGGTCAGGGAGCCTTAGAGAGCACAGGCCACCAGCTCCTGTCATTGTCAGAGATAGGCCAGGGAGCCTTAGCGAGCTGCAGAGACCACCCATCACTGTGGAGGGAGCACCCTGGGAATGGAAAACTGCCCATCCTGGTGGAGGGGGCTCCTCTGGATGCTAACTTGTGGGGAGATCTAAATGCAAGGGCAAGTTCCTTCCATCTGGGTCGGGAGGGAGGAGCTAAGTGGCTACAGAGAACCCCTCCCTCTGGTATCCATCACAAACAAGGCGCACCACCTGGAGACTGGGCCCTATTACAAATGCCCCTAGCAGTAAGCAGCTTGCCCTTCAGACCTTAGGCAATCTAGACTAGAGGCTTAAATATCTTTAAGAATAAGAATTTTTATGAGACTCCCACAAATGCTATGGCCCTTTCCTTCTAGAACAGTCTCTGAGGCTGGAACAATGGCACAGTACAGTGCCAGCCGCACAAGCATGAGGACCTGACTTTAGCTCCCCGGAGACCAAGGGAAAAGCCCGGGTGAGGGCATGCACCTGTAACCCTAACACCGGTGGCCTGATGACAGGCAGATCCCAAGGTTCACTGGCCAGCTGCCTCGCAGAATCAGTGAGCTTTAGGTTCAGGGAGACATCTTGTCTCCAAAAATCAAACAGAGGTGCTGAGATGACTCGGTGGCTTTTAAAGCACTTGCTGCCAGGCCTGCCAGCCTGAGTTCAGTCCCCAGGATCCACCAGTTATCATCTTACAGCCACATACAGCACGGAATGAGAGTGTGGGCACGCACACATACATATACATACACATCACATATACACATACACACATACACCCACATATACATACATATATACACACGCACACACACATACACACACGAGGTTAGAGGAGGGAGGAGAAGAGAACAGTGGAGGGGAGGGGAAGGGAGGGGAGGGGAGGGGAGGGGAGGGGAAGGGAGGGGAGGAGTAGAGATGAGGTCTGTGAGGTACACACTCCAGCCAGTGCAGTCACTACTATGCAGAGCCTCTGGCCTCTTGGACCTCCCAGCCTTGATTCCAAATCCAAAGCAAGCCCTCTTTACATTCAGAAACAAATATTTTAGTGCCCTGAAATTGTAAGCCGATAACCTGCTAAGCCCACCTCACCCTTGTAACCTGCTTAGCAAACAGTCCATAAACTGGTGGTATTTGATGGCCTTGGAATGACAAGCTGTTGCGGAAGATTTGGGGTCACAGTTCTCTGACCTGGGCCCGGTAGGCTTGGTCTGGATGACAACACTGGCCACCGGCTGGTATTGGACACAAACGATGCACTGGAGATGAAATGCTTAGGGGGTCCCTCGTAGTCCACAATATCGTACTGACCAGGCCCGGGCAGAGGTGGCTTTGGGGGCAGAGGCAGAGGGTGGGCAGAGAAGTTCAGGAGCGTACCTTTCCTTTGGAAAAGAAAAAAAATGCAAAGACGTCACCACAGCAGCCTCGTGGGGGAACCGGCAGAGTCTAAAGCACAGGCCATGCCTGGGGCCCCGAGGCTCACCCTGACCAGTATCTAGCCTAATTCAGTTGCTTGTGAGCCCAGGGCCTCTAGGCCTCAATTGTACAATGGCAACCAAACCTCACAGGCTTGTCAGGATTGAGAGGTGCTGGTACCTAACACAAAGTCCTTGGGGCAATGAGAGCACAGACACTTTTTCTGTTAGAGGTGTCTGTTGCTGAGCTCATTGGGAAAAGCAGGTCCCATTGATCGTATGTGCTGACTGTGATCGATTGGTAGAGTCTGGCTGGAGCTCTAAGAACTGAAGCCTGGATGAAAGAGCCCTGGATAAGCCACTTGTGATGTCTGCATGGCCAGGGGAAAGGAAGCCTCAGTCTGCTTTCCATAGATTTGTTGTCCTACAACTGACGGATTTCTGTTGACACCCCAGAACCCTGCTAGTTTGCCCTTAAGGCTGGAGGCAGGGATGGAAAAGCACTGGGCTGGAATCTAGAACTCCTAAGGACACTCACTGCTTATATTGCAACTGTTTCAGGCAGACATATTTCCCTCCAGAAAGGGGTGTATTTTGTATCGCATCTTTGCCATTAAGTCACTAAATAAACACTTACATAGGGCCAAGCCTACATAACAATTCTGGAACACAGTTTACCCATGCATGAGTCGGGGAGTTAGATAAGAGGACTTTTGAGGACTGTCCCCTCCCCTCAGCCCACAGGTAGGATAGTTACTGAGTATCCCGGCCATCTGGGGAATCAAGCCACTGTTCAGGGGAAAGGCCACCTCCCACCTGAAGTTTCTTCTGGGGCCTCTCATGGAAAGGGGAGTAAGGTTCTCAGAGCCTAGAACATTCCGGAACGGACACTGTGCCCAAAAGCAGTGGGGGAGTCCTGGCTCCCATGACCCTGCTGGCCTTGGGCCTTTACCTTCTTAACTCCATAGAGCCAGGACACCTAGAGATGTCTAGTCATCCTCCTTATTGGCTAAAGGAGCCAGTGTCCAGAGAGACTGTAGCACGTAAAGTCAGACCCCATTGCAGACCCGTGGCTCTGTAGGACAGTCTCTTAGTAGCAGCAATGTGGAGACAGGCCATTGTCAGCAGAGACTGCTCTTTCATTTCCCAACCACCCAGACTCAAATAATCACACAAAACTACATCAATTATATCACTGTCTGGCCAATGGCTCAAGCATATTTATAGCTACCTCTTACATCTTAAATTAACCCATTTCTATTAATCTGTGTATCTCCACAAGGCTGTGAACTATAGGTAAGTTTCCAGTGTCTTTCTCCATCGGCAGCTACACGGTGTCTGCCTTGACCCTGCCTACTCTTTCTATATATATCTGTTCGAATTTTCTGCTTGGCTGTATTCTGCTAGGCCATTGACTGAAACAATTCATCAACCAATAAAAGCAACACACATACAGAAGGCCATCCCACATCATGCCATGTTAAAGGTGTCTGCATTTCAGAGACTCCTGCATGGAGTATGAATTCTAGTCACACCACTGGCTGGCTGCTGGGGTCTCAGACAAAGCCCCTGGAATATCTGGAGCAGAAGTGAGAACCCTCACTCTTTGCTCTTTGTAGGAGAGCTATGAAAACAAACCAAAAACAGCAGAGGTCTGTGGAGCGGCTCCCACAGAGCTAGTGCAAATTCAGTGCTCACACCGGGGCCATTCTGGCGTGTGGGGATTGGCCTGCTGCTAGGGGGGCCTGGAAAGCCGCTTCGCTCTGCTAGAGGCTCGAACCATGAGACAGCTGGCTTGGATGCTTACATCTGAACAAAGGTACCCACAGGAAGGAGGAGAATGTATCCCTCTACTCCGTATGGAGGGCCTGGCTTTAGGGTGTGGTCAAGAACCTTTCTTCTCATAAGTAAATACTACCTTGCTCCTGTTCTGGCTCTGACTCCCTCCCCAAGACACCCAGACTGGCTACATTTTGAGATAGACATGACTCCTAGAAGTCACAACTGGAATAAGCCAACTACCAGATGAAGTCATTCATTGGTGTGGGTCACTCCCAAGCCCAAGAGTCCCACATTCTTTCCAGGGAAGCCCACGGGGTGTCTGCTTGCCCAAGCAAGGATAGCTACTAGAGGTGGATGCAGGCTGGGCCACAACACACACTTGCACATTTGGTTGGAGCAGCCTCTTCCCGTCTCCTCTCACAGTACTAGGAATGCCCCACCCCCTCAGCAGAACGCTAGGGTCTCCAGTGAACGCCAGCTTTACGTACAGCTCTAGTCAAGCACTTTGAGGATCCAGGCTGTCCTGGACTAAGACACGGATCATGAGGGCTGGGTCGTCCACAGCTAGTGTCATCTGAACGGTGACAGTGGAGAGAGAGAGAGAGAGAGAGAGAGAGAGAGAGAGAGGGCAGCTGCGGCTTAAATGTCCCCTACCCTGCTCACTGTATGTGTCTTCAGGAAATCTGACCGCCCCAGACCTTATGCTAGGAGTAACTAGGCTTTGCTCCTGTTCCTAACAGGAAGTCTGTTAAAAGGGGAGTTTTAAATCCTGAGCACAGCCAGGCAGTGGCGCACACTAATCCCAGCACTGGGAAGGCAAAGGCAGGTGGATCTCTGTGAGTTCAAGGCCAGCCTGGTCTCTAAGAGCTAGTTCCAGGACAACCAGGACTGTTACACAGAGAAAGCCTGTCTTGAAAAACCAAAACTAAATAAACAATAAATAAATAGTTTTTAAAAATAAAAACGTTCTGAGCACAAATGAAGGCACATGTCTGTAATCCCAGCACTTGGGTAGCTGAAGCAGGAGGATTGGCACAAAGCTGAGGCTAGCATGGACTGTATGCAGAGTGCCCAGGCACCCTGGGCTATCCTGTGAAGCCCTCTTCTGAAAACAGGAGGGCAGCAATAATTCCCACTAGGGGGTCCAAACCTGTGCCCTGGAAGAGGTCAGCAGGGAACCCCGAGGTAGGGAGAGCAGGGAAGGGCACTCCAGCAGTGGGCACACAGGGGCAGACAAGGGAGAGAGAGTAGCCAGACTCAGTCCTTTTGTGGTATCTGGGCTCCATCACCTTCTGTGCCCCCTCCCCTTTCTCTGTGGTTCAGCAAGGGGCTAGGGACCTCAAAGCTGAGTAAGCCAAGGTCACCACCCCTAAAGGGTGAGGCAAATAGAACACACAGTGGGCGTAAGCGCGCGTGCATGTGTGTGTGTGTGTGGGCGTGCACAGGAAGAAGACTCACGGGGAAGGGGCACAACAGGTGGGTGTGTAAGGGTGGAGCTGAGTGTACAGGGAAGGATGCTCCTGCAGGAGGAACAGCGTGGGCAATGGCACCGGGTCAAGAGCAGGGCTGTTCTGGGTCTTTCTGGGAGGGAAAGTGTGTCTGAAAGGCTACAGTCAGAGCTCCCTCTTAATTTCACATTTACAGGGTCTGTGAGGAAATGGGGGAGAGGATGGTGAGAAACAAGGGAACCACCTAGAAACAACAGAGGGACAGTGTGGGGAGGGATGAAGGTGGCCGCTGTCATCTCTCTTCCTGTGTCCCCAAATCTGCGTGTTCGGTGGGGGATAGCTTGCAAGGAAGGTGATGGAGTCAAGACACCAAACTCCCCCTTACCCAGGGCTGGTTCCTGGTGGTGTGGGGCAATTGGGAAATCACAGACGTCCAGTGGTCACACTCAGGATGTGTATGACGGGCAATGCAGTGTGACCAGCCTGGGTTTGGTGGCTTAGTGATGGATGAACGACAACATGGATCCAGCTCCCCCAGCAGCCACAGCAGAGAGTAAGCACACCTCAGCTTCCGAGGAAACCCTTTGTCAGCGGCTCAGAGATAATGGATGTCCTCGAGGTCTCTGCAGGTCACTTGTGGGAGGCATCAGGACCCCTGAGACACTCGCAGGCACAGGTTCTCTGCCTGGGGGATTCCCAGGTTTGGGAGGGATAAAGGGGGCAATTTCTCACAATTCCTCTCCACATTAAAGGGTGACCGACTGCCTCTGGGGTGGAATGCAGTATCTGTCTGTTCTTCAGGGCAGGGGCAGTGACAGATGAGCCGCCTGGGAAGATGCATCCCACAGCGAATTGACAATCCCCGGGAACTTTAGGTGGGCCCAGCATAATTGGCCAGTGTAATTACAGAATTGGACCTGGGCCAAGGGGCTTGATTCTCGGGCTACCCTTGACAGGACTGCATGCTATGCAAAGCCAATGACTTAGGGACTCCAGGAAGTGGTCAGAATGGAGTCTCTGGGTGTTCCTCTGCCTGGCAACAGGTGGCATCGGGAGGACCCCATTCTGCCCTGCCTCGCTGAGTCACCCCCAGGATGGGTACTGAGAAACTTGAGAACTGAAACCTTGGCGAACGCTCGCTTCACATCTTAAGACAACCTGCAAGCCAACAAATCCTCCTAACTTTGAGTCAGCTGGGCAGCCGAAGGCCAAGAACACCCACAAAGCGCTCCTCAGCCACGACTCCTGAGGCACAAGCTCCAGCCTCTGGTGTGGAATGGCCCTACAAGTGTCACTCCAGAAAGCTCCTGGGTTGGCCCACCTCGTTGAGGCTGCCAGATCTGGGCTGTGGGTTTGAGCCACCATGCGAAATTGCAGCTGTATTCTATTTCGGTAGGATACATAGTAATCTCGACTGTAATGAGTAAGAGCCAGGCAGATGTCTGAGGAGACAGACGCTTCTCCCGGTTTGAACATTAAGTAATGCATCAAAACATCACATGGTCTCCATAAAAATGCACGGCTTTTATGCGTCAGCTGGGAAAAAGTAAGAACTGTTTCCAAGTTCTGCTTCATTCAGCCTTGCAGGAGCCACAGCGGGGAAGATCCTCAAGGCCACTCAGCAAAGAGGCAGGCAGGGGAGGTTCCACGGAAGATAATCCCTCGCCCCTTCCCGCAGTGTTTCACAAGCAGACTAAGGAAAAGTTCGTGTGCAGAGGGGACTCAAGTCAGCCCAAAGGAAGGAGTCAATCCCCTGCCCCAGAGCCTGGAAAGAATCCTGCAGAATCCCACAATGGGACCACAGAAGGAACTTACCTGGTAGCCTCCATCTAAGCCCAAGTCCCTTCTCCACCTCCTATTTGACTTGACAGACTCCTGAATCCCCTCCCCATGTCCCAGACTGATGGCCAGATGGTGACCAATGTTTCCAGCCTCCTGCCAGATGCCTGGTGACAAGCTGTGGCCCTGACCCCTGCCATGTCACTGTGGAGGGGCTCAGGTACCCACACACTCGGCCCAACCCTGGTGGTCACCCTTCTTGGACCTACAAGGGGGGCTGCCACAGGAGTGAAGACTCAGAAGGTGACAAAACCTCATGGAAGTTCCACAGCCACTTAAGGAATTCTTAAGCCCTGAATACCTTCGAGTCTCTTGGATGAAAATAACATTAGGAATGGTGAATAAAGAGGTGGGGGGAGGGGGGTGTCGGGAGCAAGGAGCACTTGTTCTTGTAGGGGGCTGGGGTTAGGTTCCCAGCACCCACAAGGCAGATCACAAAACGTTTATAGCTACAGTTCCAGAGGACCTATTGCCCTCTTCTGGCTGCCATGGACACTGCAGACACACGGTGCACAAACACATACAGGCAAAACACCCACACACATAAAATAGAAATGAAAACTCTCAAATGGAATATATTCAACAGGGCGACACGGTTGTCTCTCTCCACCTCCCAACCCTACTTTGATGAAGCAGAATCTGGCTACATTGCCCAGGCTGGCCTTGAATTCTCAATTCTACTGCCTCAGCCTCCAAAGTACTAGAATTACAAATGTGAACCAACCGACCCAGCTCTATTTCTTTTTAAATTTGTGTTACTAAGAAGTCACCATTTGCACCTACTATATGCCTGACAAATTTTTAAGTCTGAAAGCAACCCTACGAGGCAAAAATTAAACCCGCTTAGCTTTATAGATAAAGGCATGAGCACTCACAGAGTGTAGCACATGCTGCCCGAGGCCATACAGCAGGGCTGATGGGCAGATCCAGCTCCATCGGTGTGCCCCAGCTGCTGCATCTCCCCAAGCGCGGGAGAGATCCCACATTATAAAAACAGAGCAGTCGGAGCCCGAGGAAAAGCCAGCTTCATGGGGAGCCTTCCTGAAGTCCAGCTCCTTCCTCCAGGAAGCAAGGCTGGTGGTTCTACTACTGTGGGGGACATGTCCCTAACAGATGCTACTCCAGTGGCTTGTCAATCACTGTGACATGGGAATGGGGCCCTCCCGCCAGACTGAGTCCTGTCTAACGGGTGAGCATTCTCATTTTTGCCTCTTTGAGCATCCCCTGGAGCTACCTCAGAAGAAAATGCAGGACTCACGGGACATGAGGCTTTTTCAGAATCTTGGTTTGCTCGTTGGGGTTGTAGTAACCAGGTCCTGGGCCTGTTGATGTCAGTTTTAATCCACGGCCAGTTTTGGATTTGAAGCAGGACACTAAGATCTTCGGTGAACGCTTCACCAGCGATTCATTGACATTGTAATGCCCTGAACAGAGAGAAGAATTGACATAGGATGAAACGTTCTCCCCAAATCAGTGAAAAGCAGCGCCTGCCACCGGCTCTCACAGGTACCTCACAGCTGTCAGTAACGTCACTTCAGTGGGTTTCAGTGGGCCCTATGGGAAGGTTGCCTGTGTAGACCAAAAGTCAGGCCTCCACTTGAATAACTCACTTCAACCCATGGGCTACACGGCAACCTGTCCAGGTGGGTCTCACCCCTCCAACCTACACCCAGGCCCTGCAGCCCAGAGATAGGAATTAACTAGCCAGAGGGCATCCATCCAATCAGGCACCAGGCACCTAAGGAATGCCCCCAAACACGGGGTAGCCTGTACTGACACAGCTCCCCCATTCTGCAGAGTAAGAAACACCTAGTTCCTGAGCACAAGGTGGTTCCAATAGCAGAATATCATCTTAATGGTTTGTAAATGTCAAATAAGCTAAGTGTGTGTGTGTGTGTGTGTGTGTGTGTGTGTGTGTGTGTGTATTATACAAACATTTATATGCAGGCAAAGGCCAGGGCTGCCCTGCCCTGTTCTGTCATTTTTTGCCTCATTTCAGAGATCTTTCACTGACCAGGCTGGTGGCCAGCAAACCCCAGGGATTCTTCTGTCCCCTCCACAACACTGGAGTTATGGGCACATGTGTGACCACACCCAGCTTTTTCATAGGTAATGGGGATTCGAACTCCGATTCTTATGCCTGTATAGCAAGTACCCTTACCTGATGTAACCACCTCCTCAGGCCCTAAGCAATAGGTTCTTTTTTTTTTTTTAATTTTATTATTTTTAGGTGGTTTTGTTTGCACATGGGCACGTGAGTGTAAGTGTCCCTTGGTGGGGTCAGATCCCCTGGAGTTGGAATTCCAGACAGTTGGAGGCAACCTGTTGTGGAGGCTAGGAACTGAATTTGGGTTCTCTGGAAGAGCAGCAAGTGCTTTTAACCACTGAGCCATCTCTCCAGCCCTGCATAACAGGTTCTTACTGAGAACCTGCTGTGTGGATTGCCCGTGCCCCGTGTTCTGTCTTAAGAAACCATAGTCAAATTCACTTCACCTGTGCTCAAAGCCTCAGGGAGGAGAGATTGGCCTGGCTGGAGGGAGAGCAGCGAGCAGTCTCACCCCGGACATTCTCACAGCTGGGGGGGGGGGGGGGGGGGGCGGGGACACAGGTGTTTGGGCAAAAGCCCTCACAGACACGTCGGTCCTCACAGCTCACATTGGTCCAGGCTTCCCATCACTCGAATGAACATAAAAACTGCAGGCAGGAAGCTGGACACACAACAGGCCCCTCGGTGTAAACACGAGGTGTATGTAGCCTCAGCATCTAGGAGAGCATTGCAGAAAGCAAGTTCAACAGTGACACTCTCGAACACCAGAAGGCCACTTGGGTGTGGCTTGAGTTTTTGTTGTTGTTTTTGTTTTGTTTGTACCTTCAGTTATCTGCATGTGTGTTAGCACCTCCGTTAATATGTGTGTACTTGTATGTGCTGGCATGTGACGGTCAGAATTCAACTCCAAGTGTCTTCCTCCATTAACCTCTGCCTTCTACAATTCTTCTGATGTATTTATTTATTGCACGTACGTGTGCATTTACACATGTGCCACAGCACACACGTGGAGGTCAGAGGACTGAACCCGTTACCAGGCTTGACAGCAAATATGTTTGCCTGCTAGGCCATCTTGGCAGTCCTCCTTAAATTCTTGAGGCAGGGTCTCAGTGAACCTGGAGTCTAGCCTAGGGTTCGGCTAGACTGGCTGGCTAGCAAACCCCAGGACCCTCCTGTCTCTGCCTCTCCAGCTCTGGAATGGCAGGAACCATTCCTGGAGCTACCGTGGAACCACCGCTGCTATTCCTCCTGACTTCTCACGTGGTGGTAGAAGCCAATGTGTTCTCAGCAAACACTTTGCCGATGGAGTCATCTCCCGACCACAGCCCCTCTAAAGAACAGAACCTCATTTATAACAATTCTCCTGCCTTAGACTTTCAAATATTGGGATTACAGGTGCCACATTCTAGTAGATCTTTAAAGACATACGTGAATGGAAGAGTAACACAAAACTTGAAAGTCTATACATATTATCATGACAGCTATGCACAAGTGACCGTGACTGAACCTGGGCTGGGGTCAGGGGTCAATAGCAGTCACGCCAGGAAAAGAAATCCGGTAGAATTGGTGGATCCAGAAAAGTGGGGAGAAGCTTAGCTGGCACTGCAGGGAAGGGAGTCCAGATGTTCAAAGCACTATGAATTTGACTCTGTTTTGTCTGAGTTCTTGTTTTAGTTAGAGCCTCGCTCTTTAGCCCTTGCTGGCCCCAAACTCAAGGCAACCTTCCTGCTTCCGTCTTCTAAGAGGGTAACTTTGTTTTAAACAGGATTTCCTTTTCTATTGGAAAAGTAATGAAGAGAACACAGGGTGAGACTATGAGACCCAGAGGGACACTCACCCTGTGCTGGAGGAGCAGTTTGTTCCCCATTCTGTTCTTTGATACAAGGCACCCTGGGGAGCCTGTGTTGACTGTGATGTCCCATCCCAGGGCTCTGTGGTAGGGCCTCTGGCTAAACCCCAAGGGTGCCAGCTTTGTTTGGCTGTATAAACAAACAAGGTGGGGCTTTGTGGGGATGGTGCGGGGGAGGGGGTGCCTTGTGGCTGAGCCTCCTGATTAGTGATGGTTTTGTTCCTCGGCTTGGCCTGATCTTCTGGCTTTAATCTGGATTTGCTGAAAGCTGACATGCCCTGCAATTTTCTCCACACCCTATGCCTCCCTGCCCCTCCTCTGGGTTCTGGGACCAAAGCTCCAGGCTCGGCTGGGAAAGGCTGAGGGGTCAGGCTGTGTGCGCTCTTCTGGACCCCTCTGAACTGATCGACCCACTAGGATGTCCTCCAGGGATAGAAATGTGGGATCACAGGGGTGTTGCCACCTTTTGGAATCCAGTAGTTGGATTCAGGCAAGCTCTGATGTGATCTTGGGTCCTGGTCCAGAAGGCACCAGGGACCCGAAGGGAAACAGGGGTGTAGCCAAGGCATCTTTGAGCTTAGATACGCTATTTAGTGTCCAACGGCACTGGACAAGTTTTATAACTCCTTGAGCATCTTTCTTCCATAATGAAATCCAGGACTCTGGGCACAGGCAGGCAGAATGCTCCCTGTGGAATAAATGCTGGGAAATGCAGCCAGGACCTGCCAGGCGATTTAGGAAGACAGTGAAGTGACCAAAACTAGTGTCACCCTCTCTCTCCCTGTCAGTAGGAAGAAGCCAGGGCTGGTGTGTCTGACCCCAAACGGCCACATCAAGAAGGCTGCTTAGGCGACGCATGCAGAGCCACTGGGTCCCTTATCCTCTCCTCTCTGTTCAGCACTTTCTTTCCCCCACATCCCACCACACACACACATCCCACCCACCCACATACATCCCCCCCACGCACCCCCCCACACACACACGCACTCCCCCCCACACACATGCCACACACACACACATACACACAGGCAAAACAAGCTCTTTCCCAACAGGCTCCCTTTAGAGAGATGGTGCTCAGAGAACCAGAGCCAAGTCACTGCTTACCTGGAGCTGGCCCTCCGGATCTGGTCAAAGGGAAGACTCCTCTTTCTGTTTTTGACAGAAACCCAACTTGAGGAGAGACATTGCTTCTTTGTTTGCAGCCAGGGACGGAGGCCTGTGAGGGAGAAAACACACCCCGTGTGTTCAGTGCCTGCCCCCTCTCTGTCCCTGTCACCCTGCCTGGACAGGTGGCAAATATGAACCAGATTGAAACCTGTCCTTCTTGAGAGGAGAACTGACATGAGCTGAAAAGGTGACGACTCTGCACGTGACTTTACTACCTACTTAGTTCAAGTGGTCTGTGACGATCGTGCATGTACACACACATGCTCGAATACACACATGCACCCATGCACACATGCACACACACCAAGGTGAAACCAGAGGAGAGTGGCTAGGAGGGAAATCTGAAGACCCTGGTTTCTGGCCCCTCTTCGGCCTGGCTGAGGCTGTATGGCCCTGCTCAGGTGGCTTAATCTCTTTGAGCTTGAGTTCTCGCTCTGTAAAAGGCATCAGGTGACCCCCACTCTGCTTGTTTTAGAGCATTGTCGTGGGCATCACAAACCATCTAGAGAAAGTTGGGTTTTGCTTGTTAGTTTCTTCTCAGTGCTAGGGTCCCATGCACCACATGGCTCGGGGGGTAGGGGTGTTTTTACTGAGCGTTTGGTGTGGGCCGGTCACAATTTGTTTACATTTCTTTTGCTGTCATTTTTAGCCTTTCCAGGACAAGTCCTCATGCCTCTCAACCTGGTCCCCGGCTGCATTCTTCTCTGTGCAAACAGTGCTTGCTGCACACGGCATCTGGGGAGCGCCGAGTCCTATCGCTCAAGATTATGATCAAGTCTGCAATCGCTCTTCTCTCTCTGCTTTTCTGGACAGACCAGAAGTTAAGAATTTTGGCTGATCCACGCAATATACATATGAGAGTGTCCCATGCTCTCAGAACTCTAAAAAAGGTATGGGGGTGGAGATGGGGGGTGTCGGGTCTTGTGGGACCTGAGACCATTCTTATGTTATGCGTGAATCACAAATATTTGAAGTGCCAATTTGTAGCCAGTCTCCGTATTTGTTAGATAACAGAAGCAATAAAATTGTGCCCCAGGGCGCTGGGAATTTTGCTGAATGGGTGAAACTATGGTGCTGGGGCAGCTTGATTCTCCCTGATACTCCTTTGTTTGAGAAAAAAGTGGGGGGGGGGAGAAAAAAGGTTTCTTGAGACACACAGGTGGCATTTGATTTTGTGCTCACAGAGGTGGAGGAATGCGGCTCTTCCCAGGGTCCTGGAGGCAGGTTGCATGCAGAGAACTCCTAAACAAAGACCAGATGGGCAGGGTAATTACTGGACAGGAGAGCACCAGGCCCGGGGAAGATAATAACAGCCCCACAGCACAGGACTCCAAAAGAGAAGCAGGACAGAGGCTGGGCAAGTCGCTCAGGGCACAGCATGGCTAACGGGATTATGGCCTTTGGGCTCCTCGCCTGATGCCGCCACCATTGTTCTCCAGGTTGAGGAAAAGCCTCCTGCAGACAAAACAGTTCCCTGGCTTTGTTCTTTACCCAGACAGAAAACCTGTGGAAAACGGGGCATTTCTGTCTATCTGTGAGTCCACAGGGAGATTTCGCCGGTAGACTAAGAAAATACGCAGCAGGTCAAAAGCAGAACAAAGCTGAGTTGCTGGGGCACCTGGAGAAGAATGGGGGGGGCTAGGGGAAATTCACCCAGACCCTGTGCAGGGTGATTCCAAAACTGATGGAGGGCGTGTGTATGTGCGTGCGTGTGTGTGTATGGATGTGAAGTGTATGGATGTGAAGCCCCTGAAGGAACTGCACCTGGCTCTCGGTGGCATTTGCCTTATTAATTAAAAGAGAACTGGCACCAGGTCAGAGAGATGCTCCAGCGGTTAAGAGCACATACTGCTCTTGTAGATCAGAGTTCGGTACCCAGCACCCACAATAAGTGACTTCTTACTCACTGCCTATAACTCCAGCTCCAAAGGATCGATGCCGCTGACCTCCAAAGTCCCCTGCACTAAGGTATGTAGACACTGCCCCCCCACACACACATTATCATTTAAAAAAATAAACTTTTTAACAAAGAGCAGGATAATTACAAGGAAATTCTGCTCTGCATGCTGGATTTGTACAGCGCTTAATTGCATATTCAAGATGCTCAGTCGCCTTGAAGCAGTTGTGAACAAAACTCATGCACTCTATGGGGTTGGGGGAGATGGCTGAGCCAATAGAAGAACCCAAGTTCACACCCTCAGCACTCAGCTTAAAAAGTCAGGCACCGTGACACTCATCTGGGGAAGGCAGGGACAGGAGGGTCCCTGAGGCTCATTGGCCAGCCAGTCAGTGAGGATGTGTTCTCAAAAATAAATAAATAATAATAAAAACAGTAGACAGCAATAGAGGAAGAAACCTGATGCTTACATATGAACACACAGGCGCACATGCATGCACGCACACATACACACACGCACGCACGCACACACACACACACACACACACATATGCATCAAGCATATATTGGCAAAAAGAAAACAATTTTGGCCTGGACCTCGGTTATTTGCAGAGTCACAGCTGTGCGGGCCCAGAGATCGTTCCCTTGATGATGGACACTGACCCCACACTGCTGTGTCCAGGGCCCTGTGAACCAGTACAAGGGTGCAGCCAGCTGTCTCAGATGACATGGAGCACTGGAAGCATCCAGGCAAAGCTCAAGCCTTATCACCACCCTCTGCTGCAGCTAAGGAGGCCACGGAGGAGTGCTCACGAGGCCAGAGCGGAGCCTGCCTCCCAGGTGGCCAGTGCCTCTCTCTGAATGCCATGTACCTGGGCAGATCATGCTCGGACCACACCCCTTCTTTCTCCCACAGCCTAACAGCTTCCTCTCTGCAGTTTCCACAGGGCAATCTGAGAGAGGTGCTCTAGGAACCTCCTCGGGTTATGTCCCACCCTTCCCAGCCCCCCTCAGGGGCTTCCAGGGGCACAGAGAACAAAGTTCAGACACTCCCCTGGGGTCTGCAGTGAAATGCTGAGCCAGCCACAATCAGCCCTGGGAACATCACTGGTCCAAAATTAAGACAGGCTGTAAATATCAAATACACATCAAATTCCAGAAACTTCAGTGAGACAAGGGGCCTCCTGAGACATCTCAGTGACATTTTGGATCTCCTGGGACATATTGCAAAATATGACAAGATATGTTATAAAAGTTCATTTCACCTATTTCTTTTCAGTTCTACATGCCACTGCTAAAGATCTCTAAAGGACACAGCTGTCCCTATCAAGTCACTACTGCCCAGAGCTGACCCAGCAGGTGCCATTCCTGCTCCAAGCACATTACAGTCAACTGAACCGGGTCATATATGGTGGGCAGGAGCTCTGTAGACGAATAAGCATGACTTACAAGTCAGGTTTCCAAAGAGGAACTTGAGACTGAGGTTTCTGAGACCAAAATCCTTTGGGGCGCACACCTTCTGTGTGGTATTGTGGGTCATAGCCCCCTAAAGCAGCTGTCATTGATTCCACTTTATAGTGGTGGTTCCACAGACCCCATGACTAACCAAGGACAGCCCACCCACTTCCCTGCTTACTGCAGACCTGTGCACCAGGTGCTGTCCTCATTCCTCATCCTAGACTCTCCCTATGAGTATCTTCACCAAGTCTGGAAGGTGAACACGTATTCACACACACACACACACACACACACACACACACACACACTACAGGACCAACAACCCAAGTCCTGAAAGGCTAGTGGAGCATGGGCAAGACGCGGGGCATGGGAGAGTGGAGATCTCAGCCACAGCTTCTGTAGCGGGATCATGGTTTTACACACTGTGAAGATGCGTCACTGTTTTACCTCGCCTGCCTAGGCACCTTCTGACTGGTTTAGCAAAGAGCTGAATGGCCAATAGGCAGTTAGGAGAGGATGGGTGGGACTTGCAGAGAGAGAGAGGCATTCTGGGAAGAAGAGAGGTAGGATTTACCAGCCAGAAGTGGGAAACACAAGCCCCATGGCATAATGTAGATTAACACAAATGGGTTAATTTAAGCTGTGAGGGCAAACTGGAAACAAGCCAAGGCCAAGCTTTCGTATTTAATAAGAAGTCTCCGTGTCATTATTTGGGAGCTGGTGGTCCAGAGAAAGTTCAACTACAGCTTCCTGCAGACACCCTTTCCCACCATTCCATTCTGCTCAGAGCACTACTGCACACACACACACACACACACACACACAATTCCTGACACCTTTATTCCAGACAGCCGGAGCTACACAGTAAGACCCTATCTCAGAAAGCAAGAATGTTGATGATTTTCAGATATAGAAAGAAGCTGGGTTTTCCTTATCATATTCTAAAAAGTAAACGAATAGTGTCAGCAGCTGAAACAGGACGCACACAGCTGTTATGACAGAGGAGAAAACCACTGGCAGGCTCCGCAAGGGTGAAGAGGTGGTCTTCCTGCAGCTTCCTACAGCTTCCTGCAGCTTCCTGCAGCTTCCTGCCGCCCTCTACCGTTGCTGGACCTTCAGATTCTTGTCTTTGCCTCGGTCACCCCTCTTCACCCCCAGCTTGTTCACAATGCTCACTGGCTGACCCTCTGTGTTAAAATCCTTCTCCTCAAACCTCACACTCTCCCCTGAGCACTGGCAACACAGGCACTGGACAAAGGTGGGTGACGTTCCTTACATAGTAATGGTTTGGGGCAGGGTTTCCCGATTTGACCACTTTCATGAAGCTTGGCAGCTGGAACATGCTGGAACATGAGTTGCTGAAGTCCTTCTTGGAAGACAACTCTGAGCGGATGGTGTATGCATTGGCAGCGGGATATTTAGAAATGTTGTCGTCCAGTCGGGCACACTGAGGAAGAAGGAATAGAATCAGCATTGCCAAGTGCCCCCGGGGCTGTGTAGACAGGTCAAAGGGAAAGGACCCTGTCCCTAGTCCATCGCTGTTTGATTTATTGCTTGCTTATTTGCCCGATTGTTTATTTGTTGAGACAGGGTCTCACTCTGTAGCCCAGGCTGGCCTGAAGCTCACTATGTGGCTCAGGCTGGCCTCCGACTTGCAATGTTCCTCCTGCTTCAGCCTCCCCAGTGCTGGCATGCTGGGCACAAGCCACCATGCCCAGCTTACAAGCATTTTTTCCCCTAAGAGGAAATGCTGTAGCAAGTAACAGTAGTAACTGGACCTCGGGCTTTGTGGGCTCGCTCTTGGGAAATACAAGTTCAGACCCATTCCAACTTCTGTAAACTAATTTAAACTCTTCGTCATCTGCTTGGGCCCTGGACAGGGCGATTTTCCCAGCAACGCATTGTCGCTGCACCCTGTTCCAGGCTACTTCCTCCGGCCTCGTCAGCTGTGGGGTGACTCCTGCCACAGGAAGGGTCACATTGGTCCCAGTGGCGTCTACAGGGTGTCTTCAGCTAGCTTGGAGGGGCGGGGCTAGTCAGGGATGGATGCTCATGCAAGCCTCCCAACCCTACCAGCTCGTGTTCATGCCAGGTGCAGTGGCACACACCTGTGGTCCGGAATTTGGGAGGCAGAGACAGGAAGACAGTGAGTCTGAAGCCAGCCTGGGCTACCCAGTGAGACAAAAACACTGTCTAAATAAATAAATAAATAGGTCACCAAGGGCAACAACAAATCACGCAGTCGTAAAAACCCTAAAATACTTACTCTTTCAACAGAACCAACTCCAGCCCTTTCTAGAAACCAAACTAAAATATTTTCAGTTCAAAAACAAACACAGTGTTTGCCACCTGAATGGGGGAAAAAGCCATAGAAACTCGATGATAACATCTCCTCACCTATGACAGCATAGCTAGTATTAGAATCTGATAAGACAAAAAAAGTTCCCATGATTTCACGGTGAAAAGCTTGGGAACACTGCTCTGGGTTTTCTCCACTCAACAGAGGTCAATGCCACCCAGGTACAGGAAGCGGGGGGAGCTGGGAGCCATCCTTTTCCTCCCTCTACCCCCTCCTCGAGGGCTGGGTGGAGATGGTTCTCAACGGTGGCACCTGGTGGGGGGCATGGGTTTCACCAGAAGCAGGACTGGCTTGTAACCCAGGTTCAAATCCAAGTTCTCAACAGCAAAGTCTCCGCCAACGGTAGCAGCCTGCACTTCTAGCCACCTTGTTTACCACGGATTTTTTTGCCGCCTTTGGTTTTCACAACTTTGAACGGCAGACATTATGACCAATTCACAGAAGAAGAAAGTCAACTCTGCGAATAAAAGGGTGAGGAGCCACCATCTTCAGCAAGGCAGTCTGTCTCCACCTGGTGACGTGGATCAGACATGACATTCAAAAGAGAAATGGGTCGGGAGGCACAAGGCCAACACCCTGGTGGTGTCTTTTTGGCCTTCAGAGACTTCCTGCTTTCAAGTTTGGGGTGCGGAGGAGAATGTTCTAAAAAAACACCCAGTGATGCCAAGTTCCCCGAGGCATCTTCATAGAATATTAGTGTCTGCGGCACTAGCCCTCCAGTCTGCACCCTGCATTTACCTGCCAGGCCTGTGGTGCCCAATCAGGCCCCACACTGACCCTCGACAACTTCTCCCAGCCTCATACTGACTCCTCCAGAACCACCCCGCCCGCCACTGTGTGACCCGGAAAGACCACCGAACTTCCCGCCCACCTGCCTCATTTAGCTTCCCGGTCAGAGTTGTAGAAGATTCTAGAACAAAACCTTGGAGTGCCTTAATGAGGTGCTTTATGTCATTTAAACTCCGAGAAACGACAGACGTTCTCAAAGGGTTGGGTTTCACCCTGACAGCCATCAGGAAGTGTGTAGAATTTGTAGGCCCACGGGCATTTTCGGGCAGCCTCGCCCCGATTACACTCAAATGGATCCTTGTGATCCCCTTCTGAGGTGGGAGCCTTGAATTCCTCAAGTGTCAGAACCCAGAAGTGGGGCAAACACTTTCTGACCCTCATCTAATTTGAGCAGAAACTGGAGACCACAGGCGGATCTCTGTGAGTTCGAGACCAGCCTGGTCTACAAGAGCTAGTTCCAGGACAGGCTCCAAAACCACAGAGAAACCCTGTCTCGAAAAACCAAAAATAATAATAATAATAATAATAATAATAATAATAATAATGCTGGGGCTGGAGAGATGGCTCAGAAACTCTGGCTTTCACCAGAGGACCTGGATGCATTTCCCAGCACCCACAGCAAGCAACTTAGACCTGCCTGTAACTCCAGTTCCTGGGGGCCTGGCGCCCTCTGCTGGCCTCTGCAGGTACCTGCGCTCATAGATCATGCCCCCGCCCCCACCCCACCCCCAGACTCATAATTAAAAATGTTTTCTTTAAAACAAGAAATATAAAGTTGAAGCCTTGCTCCAAAAGGAGGGCAACCCCACATCTCCTTTATGGGTCTTTTTTTTTTTTTTAAAGAAATAAAAGGCCTGGTTAGATTCTACACTTCAAACCTTCCCATGCCTTCCCTTCTGGATAGCCGAACCATTTGAAAGTCACGCCGGTGAAGCCTGGCAGGGCCTTAACCGTGTCTCCAATCCAGCCCCTCCTTGGCACCAAGAAGGAATGGTAGTGCGCTGTCTGGCAAAGGCCCTCTCAGTGAGCACCCAGGCGCTCTGGGCAATCTGAAGGGTGACTCAGGGAGGCAGCTCTAGCTCCCGTTTACGCTGGTCTGCAGTTTCACAGTCTTTCTCACTGCACTTTGCCCGGGGCCTCCAGGGAGTCTCTGAGGCAACTGGAACACGGAAAGGTGACGTGCTTGAGGTCACATTCAGGCTGCACAGCTGAGTCAGGATGAGGTCTCTGTGGCCCAGGCTGCGGCAGGCGATACAGCACTTTTTTGACAGTAGCTTCAGGGTCTTTCTCCTGACTGAAAGCTAAAGGCCTGGCTATCCTGTGACTTTGCTGAGGGCTCAGAGACTGTGAGCCTTTGCCCCTAAGTCAGTTTGCTCCTGAATATTCCACACTCCCAGCCCAACTCCCAACAAGAAGCTGCTGCAATTGGCGACCTTTAAATGGTCCCTTTGTGTGAGAGTGATACGAATTGGCCCCAGTGTCAGGCATCATAGACGCTCATGTAAGACACTGTCACAACCTTTAAAGAGACACGCAGGCACATGCGTCCTATCGATGGCAGATTCTGGCTCTGCCTTCTTTGCTGTTCCACCTTAGGCGACCTGGCCCTGGTTTGGCTCTCTCCCTTAAGGCTGAGGCCATAGCTTGCTTACTGGTAGCAGCCTCGGGCGCCAACCTCAGCACACACATACCAAAACCAATACAGAAGAACACTGTCTTCACCCGAGTCTGCTCAGGCTCCCTGGGGCTTCATATACGTATCTTACCACGAGACTCCTCAACAAAGATAAAGTCTCATGTGGTACCATGAAGATCCCTGTATTTCAGGCCCAGTGCAGACTCTCTCTTTCTCTCTCTGTCTCTCTCTGTCTCTCTGTCTCTCTCTCTCTCTCTGTCTCTTTGTCTCTGTCTCTGTCTCTCTCTCTCTGTCCCTCTCTCTCTCTCTGTCTCTTTCTCTTTAGGGGGTGATGGCCATGCCATGATGCGAGTGTGGAGGTCAGAGGTCAGTTCTCTCCTCCCACACAGGTCCCAGAAATCCATCTCAGGCCCTCAGCTTTGGCAGGAGCACCTCCTATCCTCTATGCCCTCAAACTGTCCCCTCGTTTCTTTTTTGGCCCATCCAATTTCCCAACGATTTGAACAACCCAGTTAGATGGACTAAGTTTTGGCAGTCTTCTCGGGACAGGACAGAGCCATTTCCTAGCAGACCTAACAGCCTTGGGAAGAAAACTGCCTCGTATTTGGTAACCAAGTTCTAGCTGCCCTCCCTCCCTTGTCTACGTGCATCCGTGGAGACAGATGGCCTAAAGACACGGGCTCAGGTCCGTCTTTGTGCATTCACAGGATGTGGTTGCTGTCTTAATCAGAACACGGACTTTGGAGAAAGGACCAGCTGCCCACTGCATGAGCAGAGGGAATCACTGTGCGTTTAACACCCAGGGGCTCTCACCGTGGAGGGGAACATGCAGGTTCCTCTCTTGGAAAGAGAGACACTGTTGAACACTGGAGACTGATGGATGACGTTGTAGAACCCGGGGCCCGGGATGTCATCCTGAAAAGGACAGAATGCAGTGTCATTGGGCACGGCAGCTTCAACACGCTTTCGGCCAGCTTTCCATCCATTAACGCTAAGCCTTGCTCTAATCCTCCAGGGCAGGCACCATCCTTTGCAGGGGTGACAGCCTTGCTCCACCATTCCTCTGGTTTACCCAATCTCTAGCTCAGTGACCAGTGGGAGGGGCAGGAATCCTAATCCAGGCCAGCTCTCCCAAAGCCCTTGCTCTTCCCCCCAAGTCTCCATCCTGAGTTCTAAAGGAACCGCGTTTTGTTTTTCGTGTCATTAGGGAAATGTGCTGGTGTGCAAGTCAGCCTGTGCGCGGACGGGGGCGGACGGGGCCAGCCAAGCCTGAGGTAAAGAAGGGAGGGTGACCAATTTTATGGCAACCACACCCACCTGACTCAGCTTCCTCCTGAGGCCTCTGAGAAGGGAAATTGGGGAGTGTTTCTGTTTATAAGGCAAAATGAAACAAAAACAACCTTCATTCCAAGTGAGGCCATCTTGAAGTCGAAGACAAAATAAGGTGAGCCCATGGGGCCCAAGGGCAACCTGAGACCAAGGTGTCAGGGAGCAGCCAGCAGATGCCATGTTCAGAGCAAGTTCTGATACTGCTGCTGCCTGAGCCTCCGAATCTTCCAACTCACGTCTGGTGTTAGTTACTAAGGGGACACCAGTGTTGACAAAAGCAAGTGGCATGAGATGAGATGCTTCATGGTTGGGGCAGCTTCCTGGGTCCTGCCCGGTGCTGGGAGCTTTACAAAGCTAATCTCATTTCACCATCACCCGATGAGGAAGGGATTACTGTCTCCATTTCACAAATGGACACATGCAGATGAATTAGTCCAAATGCTGAGCTCACAGTGTGTGGTGGTCATGTCACCAAAGTCACGTAAGGAAACAGAAGCTGGGCATGTGAGGCCATGGCCAGTAAGCAGTAAACCCCAGATTTGAGCCCATGGACCCAGATTCCAGAGTTTGCTAGCGCCACTCAGTCATAGATACATCCTAACTCTACTGTGTCTGCTGCCTTATCTAGGCAGAGAGCTTGAGGCACTGCTAGTGCCTTCTAGAACTTTCCTATCTGGAGAGCGGGGGACAGAGTGATTGAAGTTTATTATAAAGAATAGAGGCATGGATACTGCTAACAGGATCTTGGGGCTGAATTTTAGTGTGTGTGTGTGTGAGTGTGTATGTGTGTTGTACACAGGTGTGCACAAGCATGTGCACATGTGTGTGAGGCAGGCAGAGGAAGAACAAACAGAGGACACAGGCTTCTGGCCAAGAGTCCGAAGCATGGACACTGAAGACGCAGGAGGGAAGGACCACAGAGAGAGGAGTCAGGGTCCCCAGGTGCTGTTGGCCCACTGTGTCCGGCAGCACACTGAGACTTCACAATGGTGGCTCACTGAGTCTTCACTGGAAAACAGAGAAGATGGGGTCAAAGAGAGACAACCTAACGCTGCCCAACCAGCAAAGATTGGAGTCGGAATTGAACCTGGACAGTCCAGTGAGAGTCTCCTGACCACGGACACCAACTGCTTCTCGGATGAGACTGTAGGGGATAAGAGAAAAGTCCTGCCCCAGGGTTGTGGATTGGGAAGTCTGTCCTCTGGGCTGCTCAGCTTCATGATTTTCAGTAACTTTAACCTCACCGGGCCTCAAGGTGCTGGGATCCCAGTGTCGCTAGGGAAAGCAGCAGCAGGAACAACGGTGGGACTAATGATGATGACGCCGTGTATGGGTGTCTTCATGTGCAGACGTATGTGCCTGCTGCCCATGGAGGCCAGAAAAGGGCATTGGGTCTCCTAGAACTGGATTACAGACAGTTGAGCTGCTGTGTGTGTGCTGGGAACTGAACCCCGGTCCTCGGAAGAACAGCCAGTGTTCTAACTACTAAGCCGGCTCTCCAGCCTCTGCTATGCGCCTCTTACAGGTATGAACAGTGGGCAGGGAAGACATACCTCTAGCTCCTAGTCCATCTGCACACGCCCACTGCTCTGACTCAACCTACCCAGTTAAATTAGAATCACCAACAGCAAATAGCTGTTTTTGTTTAAGTACAGCCCATGAAGTATTTGGGACATACTTATGCTAAAATAATTACCTATCTGCAATTCTAGTTTATCCAAGCATCTGTGTTTTTCTTTGCTAAATCTGACAACTCTACTGGACATCCACCGCCTGGGTCAGACTGCAAAATGGCTAGAGTCCAAGGCAAACGGGAACAGGGCTGTCTCTGTTTAGCCTGTGGGGATGAAAGTTACTCGTGATGGAAGGTCCAAAGAGAATCTTTTGGGCTGAAGGATGCTGGAGCTGGCCTGTGAAGGGAGCCATTAAAATCCTGACAGTGGCCATTGAAATTGGTCACTCTAGGAGTATTTTACACTGGAGAAATCTCCTGAGGCTACAGTGGAGGGAAAAACTGGATTATGTAACAGCCAGAGGACCTCCACCGGGGCAGAGAGCCTATATGAGGCTGCTGGATGTGGGGCAGGGCTCTCAGGGTGGGCAGGATAAAACCAGGTGTAGACTCAGCTACCCCCTTGGTCTCTTAGATGAGACACTTCCAAATGATCAGAATAGAAGTAGTTGCCTACCACGGCCACCTGAGAGCCAGGACCACCTCGTGGGCATGGGACTGAGCAAGCAATGCTTGGCAGATGTGGTCCCCTCCCTTCCCCCGACACACAGCTTGGGGGACACTTGGCTGAAAAGCACTTCGAGAGCTCGTTGGACTGGCAGCCTCTGCAGGTGCAGGAGTGGGAGGTGGGTGGTCCCTATCCATGTGACCTTGGGAGGGTCATGAAGGAGTGGGCATTCAGCTCCTGGGCCAGGGACTCTCCCCAGGCTTGTAGGGGAGGGCATCCTACTGCAGAGACTAGAGTCAGGCATGGCACCCTACACTGCGGTTTCCACAAAATTTCCATAAATTCTGTCAAGTTCATCCATAAACATAACCTCACATGATTTCATCACAATTTCTCTGGCTGTTTTGGAGGATAGATCTCATGTCAGACCCTGTACAGAACGCCCCGAGTTAGTTAGCTAGCTAGCTAACTAGTTTGTTTTGGAGGTGGTTTTCTCTATGCCAGGCTAGACTTCAACTCACTATCCAGTCAAGGACGATCTTGAACCGCTGATTTTCCTGCCTTGGCCTCCCAAGTGCTGCAGTTGCAGGAATGGGCCAGCACAGTCCATTTCCTTGTGCATTTTATGAGCCACCATCTGGGTCCTAGGAATCGAATCCAGGTCTTCTACTAGGGCAACAAGTACCCTGACCCCCACCCTACTCCCCACTCAAAGCCACTGAGCCGTCTCTCCAGCCCCTGTTTATGCACCTTAAATGGTGCCCACTTAGAAGACACAGTGTCCCTGTCCTCCCACGTGGGTTCATTCCCATGGAAGGCAGCAGGTTTGGGAACATGCAGTCGCCACTCCCAGGAAAAGCTAATCTGGTGTAGTGTGTAGCGTTCTAATTTTTTAAGAGGAGGAAACAGATGCAGAGGCAACATATGGGGCCCTTACAGCTCCATGGCTTGGGAAATGGGGTGAGATGGAGCAGAAGACGGGAGACAGGGTAGAAAATATCGCACAGGCTGAGGGACAGGGGCTCTGTCACCTAGCGGCAGGTCTCCTCAGGAATGTAAAGTTAGCCACACACTTGTAAACAATCATGAAGTTTATTCCTAGCAAACCAAATTGCCAGTTTAGCCACAAGTCTGTGCAGGCCTCTCGCACCACCAGTGTTGAGATTCCTTTACTCAAAAAAAAAAAAAAAAAAAAAAGTGTGCGTGCAAGGGCACACGTGTGTGCCACCTCATGAGAGCAGAGTCCAGAGGACAACCGAGGGAGTCAGTTCTGTCCTCCTGCATGGATCCCAGAGTGTGAACTCAGACCTGTAAGTTTGCCGGGGGATACCCTGACCCCCGCCAACCCCCCTCCCCGCCTTCTCGCTGGCACCCCGGCGGAAGGATTCCTACAAGGAAGGTAAACTGGCAGCAAAAGTGAGCGCTTGCCTCTGAGGACACCAGGGAAAAGCTGGGCTAAGTGGGTCACAGCTCCCAGGTGAGCAGATGACGGGGTGTGGGCTCAGCACAGGGCGTGTGTGCCTCCTGTCTTGAGAAGGGCGGTGAGGCAGGGGAGGTTTCAAATCTCTTGTTAACGTGCATTGTCTCACTAAATTACTGGGTGATGCCGCGCAAGCGCATTACTTCTCCACGCTCGTTTCCCCGGGAGAAATGAGGATGACGGGCAGAGGGCACGGAAGGAGTGGAGTCTCTGTGCTTAGGACGTGGGGAATTATATAACTCCTCAGGAATTACACAATCCCAACTTTTATGATGTAGATGAGGAAACCGAAGCCCAAAAAGGACAAGTGGCTGATCTCAAGGCTCCCAGCTAGGGATCGAGAACACAAGGGGCTGGGTCCATAGAGACACCATGCTTTTGCAAAGAAAAAAAAAGCTTTCAAAGGTTCAGACGAAAGTTTTCTCATCAAATGGATGCAACCACCCTGGGAAATGTGAAACCAAACTTTTTAGTGGTTTCTGCCTGTATGTCTGCCATCCGCCGTTCAGGCTGCTGGCCACGCCAGCTCCCTGGGCAGGAGACGTGACAGGATTTCACAGGGCACCTTGAGCTCTGGGATCAGAGCCTTCAGAGCTTGCCATGTGGGACGGAGCCCTGACAAGAAGCATTTATTCGCGTCCCTGGAGATCCTTCGGTTTTACCAAGGCCGGTCAGAAGCAGGCTGACTTTCATCAACCGAATTTACAGCCTCGAAGGCCACAAAGGCGGGCGTGGCCCGGTGTGGAAAGAGTGAAGGCTTTGGCGTGAGCTGCGCCTGGGTTGAGGTCTAATTCTTTCAACACTGATTCAGCAAATATTTACTTAGAGTCTCTTAAGTGGCAAACCCTGGGTTGTGTGACCGAGGGTGGGTCACTTAACCTCCCTAAGCCTCGGTTTCCTCTTATGTTCAGTGAAGACACCAAACCCTTCCTTTTAGCATTGTCTTGAGGAGCAGTGATATGACCTAAAAATGCTTTAACACATATTAGGGTTTGGTCAGTGACAGCTACTGGTCTTTGTAGTGAGAACTGAGCTGCGGACATCCTGGACATGGACAACTAACACACTCTCATTAAAGGTGATCAATGGGAACCCACACAGCAGTGGGGAAGAGGCTGACAGCTAAAATACAGAGAAACTAGAAAAGAAAGAAAGAAGGAAAGAAAGAAAGAAAGAAAGGATGGATGCCTGATCAAGTATTTATCATCCTGAGGAAAGCTACCAGTGGCTCTAAAATGTGTTTGCTCTATTATTTATTGCGGGTTTCATAGATCCTGAGGTAATGGAGGTTAAAGGAACTTAATCCACTCTCTAGTTCCGCATACCAACCAGCTCACAAAGAAAGAGCTGGGCTTGGGGTGAGGGCCCAGCAAAGCGGGGAGGAGGGTGCTTGATGGCATACCTTACCTGTGTTCAGAACCGGGGTCCTCCCACCCCTTCTCTGCCATCTAGGCAAAGTGGAAGGATGAGAGCCCAGCCGCCTGCAGAAGGCAGCAGAAGGTAACTGGAGTGGCCACTGCTGAAAAGGGTCCTACTAAAAGACAGGGAGACTCTCCCCCAATGCCTGGGAGTTGCTACAGCCCCCTGCTGGTGAGAAAGGAGAAGGTCAAGTCCCAGGAACAGGTTAAATAAAGGCTGGCCAGGAAGCACCAGAACTTCCCAGACGTGGAGATCTAGAGAAGAGGGGAAGGATAGAGAGGGCCAAGCACAGCATTGTTTTTAAATTGCATTTATTTATCTACTTGTGTGTGCGCACATACCATGGCGTACACGTGGAGATCGGAGGACAGCTTTTAAAAGAACTGGCTACTCTCCACCATGGAGGTTCCAGGACTCAAGGCTTGGTGGCAGGCATTTTTACCTGCCAAGCCACCTTACCAGCCCCCATAGTAATAATAAGACATTGTTTAAGGAATTTTATTTTATTTTTGTTGTTGCTTAAGGAAATTTTTAATGGGGAGCTCATCACAAACACAACAATAAATGTATCAGAAACTTGTTTACCCATGTGTTATCTGGGGGACGATGCAATTCCCTCTGATAGATCAGAGTAGGCTGGTTTTTATCCTCTACTACATATACACAAGATTTGGAAGATCTTGTGTTTTTATTCCTTTCAAATTAAAGATAATTTTGGCTACAGGGTATGAGTGCATAGTCCTTCAATTCAAACACACAGTGGCCAAGGAAGGAGGACCTTGAATTCAAAGCCAGCCTGGCTTTGTATATATGTATAGCAAGATCCCTGGTTATCTTTTCCAAACATACAGCATATGCAAAGTACTGGGGTGGATCCCCCAACACAGCAAATAAGTAGATCAATCGATCAATTTCAGGTGGGTTCTTACCATACTGACACATCCTTGGAGGATGGCGCAGGTCCTTCGGTGATACTGCCCCCTGCTGTTCATAGAGGAAACACAACAGCTAAAATTCAAAGAATTTTGAAGGCAATGTCATTTACCTTTTTGTTGTAGAATCTCCTGGCTTGGCTGTTAAATCCCTTTCTTTCTGATTCTAGGATTATTGATGTTCTGTATTTATAAGGAATGGAAGATTGAGTTGGGTACGCAGCAGTAAAACCTAAACGACAACAACAAAAAGACAGTCATCAGCGCACGCCGCCAGTGTTTGCTCAGTGCAACCGCTAGGAAAACGCTCTAAGGATTCATCCTAGGCTGGGGATGTAGCTCAGCGAGCAGAGTATTTCCCTAGCATGCACAAAAGCCCTGGGTTCCATCGTCAGCACCACACAGGACCAGGTGTTAGAATTAGAAACCCAAGGTCACCCCTTGACTATATATTGAGTTCAAGGCCAGCCTGGAATATATGAGACACTGCCTCAAAAAATAGGTAAACAACCAAACAAATAGTTATCCTAGTGAGCTAACAAAAGAGAACTCGCTATAGGCCATTTCACTAGGGGCTATGAGGTTCAGGGTCCACCCACCTCTGTGACTCAGAAGGATACAACTTTTCCTTTCTCTCTCTCTCTCTCTCTCTCTCTCTCTCTTTCTCTCTCTCTCTCTCTCTCTCTCTCTCTCTCTCTCTGTTTCTGTCTCTCGGATTCTGACCAGAACAAATGTATACTTATATCGGTAGTCTATTAGACTTCCTTACTCTTTCTCTACAACACACACACACACACACACACACACACACACACGCCTTGCGGCTGCCTGATAACATGTGGCTCAATTCCATGGCATTTTCTACGTCTCTGCTCTCCTCCTCCTGGCAGCTGCTGAGAATCACAGCTTATCTGCTCGGGGGTCTTTCTTTTCTCCAGTAAGATTGTCCTCTTTGAATTAAAAACAAAAGTTCAATACAGGGTCAGAGAATGGCTCAGTGGGCAAGGGCTCTTGTTGCCAAGCCTGACTGCCTGCGTTCAGTCCTCAAGAACCACATGGGGGAGGGAGAGCACCAATGCCTAAAAGTTGTTCTGTCCCCTCCACATGTGCTCCCTGGCATGCACAAACAAAATAAATAAATATACTTTTTAAAAATTAAAATAGAGACTGAAGAGATGGCTCTGGGGTTGGGAGCGTAGACTTCTCTTCCAGAGGACCCAGGTTCAATTCCCAGCACCATATGCTCACAACCATCTGTAACTAAAGTTCCAGGTGATCCAACGCCCTCTTCTGGCCTCTTCAAAGACTACATGCACATGGTATGCAGACCCAAACACATAAAATAAATGTTTTAAAATTAAAATATTCAATACAAAAGAGTGAACAAAGAAAGAACAAGCAGCTAGGACAGAAAGCAAATCACAAACCAGCGGACTCACCCATTTATCACCACATTAAACAATAAGTGGGCTAGACATTCCAGTTCAAAGACGGGAACTGTCAGACTGGACAAGAAAGAAAGACCCAGCTACATGCTGCCTACAAGAAACATAGTTCAGCTATAAACCCAGAAAAAGAAGTAAAAAGAATGAGGGCTTGCAGTAAGAATTCAGTTGTCAGAAATAAAGCAAGCAAGACCTGCTATACATTAACAACCAAAGAACAGGACTCTGGCTGAACATATGGAAATAGCATGTATCTTTTTGTTACTGAAGGGACAGCCACCTTCCCATTTACCCTTCCTTACAGTTTCTCCCCACCTACACTCTAGGGTCAGCAGGGTCAAAGGCAATCTGTCTGATACACTCCCAAAGGATGGCCTTGTGGATAACACCCAGGGTTTACTAATCCGCCCAATGTGCTCTTCCATACTAGAGGAGGCGTGCTGAGATTTAAATTCACTAGACCTGCCGGGCGATGGTGGCGCACGCCTTTAATCCCAGCACTCGGGAAGCAGAGGCAGGCAGATCTCTGTGAGTTCGAGACCAGCCTGGTCTACAGAGCTAGTTCCAGGACAGGCTCCAAAGCCACAGAGAAACCCTGTCTCGAAAAATCAAAAAATCAAAAAATAAATAAATAAATAAATACATAAATTCACTAGACCTTTCTGGAGTTTGTAGTTGTGCTTGTTAGGTTTGCCAGAGTCTTCACTTTTCAGGGCAACGTTGTCCACTTTGAAGCTCTGGGACATGTTCCGTCTGTTTGAGGGGAACCTCAGGCTTGCATTCTCCTATACACCTGAAATAAAATACAGCACGTTCAGGGGCCGTCTCACACCGTGCCGGCTCTATGCTAATGGTGGCTTAGGTTAAGAGATCTTGCGGCGCAGAAGCTGACATCCACCAACTGCTCTGTCGCCCCAGGTTCCAAGCACACTGTACTGACGGATTAGGAAGCCACACAAATTCACCCTCGCTGCTGCATACAGCCATGAAGACTTTCCATATTATTTTCATTATTAACCTAGCTTGGCCGAGATATATTTACATGCGATAAAGTTCTTCAGTGGTAAAGGTAAGCGTCTAAGCTCTGATAGTGTGCGCAGCTGTGCTGCAGACTGCCACAATTAAGACATCAAGGTTATCTGTAACCCGAAGAGTTCCCGTGTGCTTCTGAAGTCATTTCCATCTGGAGCTGGCATCTGCCAGCTTCCTGTCACAATAGCTGCCTTTCTGCAGTGCCACACAAATGCTGCCATCAGCAGATCAATTGCTACCAACACGGTCTTCCTGGGGCTGGTGAGGCAGCTCAATGGGCAGAACCTTTGCAAGGCAGCCCAACAACCCACACACTGAGCAAGTCAAACAGCCTGGAACTCCAGCTTCAGGGAATCAGACTCCCTTCTCTGACCTCCACAGGCACCTGCACTTTACATGTGTGAACACACACACACACACACACACACACACACACACACAACTAAAAGAGTTACTCATTTTAAGAAGTTCTTCCTAGATCTTGATTGGCATTGCATCAAAAATTCAGTGAGAATATCTTAGCTTCCTTGGGTACTATGATCCCCTAATATGGTGGTGAAGCTCCCAATTTACTTTGATATATTTACGTCTCTAAGCAGTATTTTGTGCTTGTAAGTGAACAGCTATTGCGTATTTTTGTGAACCTCTGTCATAGTTTTCTTTCCTTCCTTCCTTCTTCCTTTTGTTTTGCTTCATTGTTGGTTATTTATTTTTTTTTGAGACAGGATCTCTGTACAGTCCTGGCTGTTCTGTTAACTTGCTTTGTAAACTAGACCAGCCTTGAAATCAGAGTTCTGCCTACTGCCCATATGTCTATGCCATGAAAATGAAATTTTGCAAAAGCCTTGCACAAGACCCTGTCTCAAAAAACAAAACAAAACAAAACAAAACAAAAAAACAGCTGGGTAGTGGTAGTGCCATGGTGCATGCCTTTAATCCCAGCACTCTAGAGGCACAGGTAGGTGGATTTCTGTGAGTTCAAGGCCAACCTGGTCTACAAAGCTAGTTCCAGGGTCGCTAGATATCCTGTCTCAAAAAAATCAACCAACCAACCAACAAAAAGAAACAAGAACAAAATCACCTTTTGTTTCTTGGTGCTGGGGATTGAGGCCAGAGTCCTGCATGATGCCACTAAGCTGCATCCCCAAATCCCCAAAGTCCATTGCTGGTGATTTTTATATATTGATCTTGTGTCCTCCAACTTAGCCTTATTTTTCAGTTATAAAGTTTCTCTGCAGACTGGAAGTTTTAATACATACAGCCATCTCTACGTAAAGAAAGGGTTTTGTTTTCTCCCTTTCCATCTGTCTGGTTGTTACCTTTTCCCCTTATAACATTGCAATGTGTAGGGCATCCAAGGCCACCCTGAATGGGACTGATGATAACAGACATTTACCTTAATACCAGCGTGAGTAGGTATTCACACAGTCTTTCTACATTAATTAGGATGGTAGGTAGACATTTTTTTTGTTTGTTTGTTTTTATCACTTGTTTGGTTGATATTTGAGACAGGGTCTGCATGTATTAATAGTCCACGCTGGTCTAGAACTTGTGGTTCTCCTGCCTCAGCATCTTGAGTGCTGGGAATGAAGATGTGTACCAACACATTTGGCTCTGGGAAGTTTTTGTTATTTGGTTGGTTTTTCGAGACAGGGCTTTTCTGTGTAGCACTGGCTGTCCTGGAACTCCCTTTGTAGACCAGGCTGGCCTTGAACTCAGAGATCCGCCTGCCTCTGCCTCCTGAGTGCTGGGATCAGAGGTGTGTATCACCAGGCAGGGTTAGGATTTCTCCCATTTGTGCTCCTAGGTTGTGATGTAGACTTCCTCACCTAAGTGCATGACTGCTAGATGCGGTTTTCTTCTATTTTTTTTTTAATGGCTTTGACTTTTGCATCACAAAATGAATTTGAAAGTGTTTCTTTTTTTAAGATTCATTTATTATGTATAGTGTTTTGCCTACATGTATGCTGCAGGCCAGAAGAGGGCACCAGATCTCATTACAGATGTTTGTAAGCTACCATGTAGTTGCTGGGAATTGAACTCAGGACCTCTGGAAGAGCAGGCAGTGCTCTTAACCTCTGAGCCATCTCTCCAGCCCCTCTTCTTGTTTTTTGAACATTACATTTATTGTGTGTCCATGCGAGCACATGTGGAGGGAGTCTGTTCTCTCCTCTCCCCCAGGCCCCCCCCCCCCTACGGTTCCCTGGGGTTGAACTCAGGTCATCCTCAGGCTTGGCAGCAGGTACCTTCACCTGCCACACTGCCCATCCTATTCCTCCTTTTCTCTCCTGGTGTTGGCATTATTTCTTCCTCAACTGTTTGCTTGGATTGATATTATTTCTTCTTTCCATTCACAAAAGGCGTCAAGGCCTGTTGTTTCCTTGAGGGTGGGTTTCAAGGGCAAAGTCCGCAGCTCTACGTGCTCTCTGTTTCTTGTTTTGTTTGTGGTTTGTTGGTTGGTTTGGGTTTTTTTGAGACAAGGTTTCTCTATGTAGTCAGTTCTGTAGCCCAGGCTGGTCTTGAACTCAGAGATCCATCTGCCTCTGCCTTCTGAGTGCTGGGACAAAGGCATGCGCCATCACCGCCTGGCTAGTCTGTTTCTTCTTGAGGGAGCTTTGGGAATAAGCACATTTAAAAGAAATTCTCCCATTTCCTCTTCAGGAGGTTCATTACCATAAAGTTGTTGGTAATGGTCTTTGATAGTCCTTGTTGGTTGAGACAGGGTCACACTCTGTCCCTTTACTATGTAAACTAGCCCGCCAGTGCCCAAGTGCTGGGTTTAGAAGTGTGTACTCCCATACCTGGCTGAATTGTCCTTTTAGTATCTATGGAAATGTCCCTCCTTTATTGCTCAGATTGATAGTCATATGTGATAAACAAACATTATAGTCATGTAGTTAAGTTTTCTAGATATACAGAAATAGATTTCAGATGGATAGGTATTCTTCAAACCCTTCAAAGACTTACAGAATATGGCATTTTAAATGTTTTAAGAACTTAAGACTTTTCTTGACAGTCTGCTTCTGGCAGCACCAATTACTTCAGAGAGGTTGATAGGCATTGAAGAAACTTGTTACAGAATTTGCCTTCAATGAGACAAGGCTAGCCATTTGGGCAAGAACTGGACTGTTTGATGGTATGCTGTACAAACTGAACATGCAGGACCCACAGAGAAATGACTGCTGAACTTGCCTAAAGAAGGTGAGACAGTCCTTCAGGGTTTCTACTTCATGAAAGAGTCTGCCAGACATTCTGCAGGAATCAGAAGAAAGTGACTGACAAACTGCCAATATCGGTAAAACAACCTTTCAAATTTCCTACTTCATGATAAGGTCTGCCAGATCCTATGGTCCTGTAGGCTGAAGATGGATGCCCCAACATTACAGAAGAACTTTGGGAGACTGTCCTGGCATCAAGATGTCTCTGACAATTCTAGAGTTTTGGAAATTGCTTACAATGCACTTCCTGTTTACTTAGGTAACATTATATCTTTCTGGAGTCTGATGGAGTGAAGACAGTTTCCCTTAGTTATGGTAAAAGATAGATATGATACTTTCCAGAAACAAATAGACTAAATATTGTGGGTTTTTTTTCTTTTTCTTTTGTTTTTCAAGACAAAGTTTCTCTGTAGCTTTGGAGCCTATCCTGGAACTAGATCTGCCTGCCTCTGCCTCCAGAGTGCTAGGATTAAAGGCATGCGCCACCACCGCCTGGCTTTAGACTAAATATTATAAGTGTATTCTTGCTTGATAACTATTTTATTATATAGTTTTACTATGTTTAAGTTAAAAACCTTCCTTTTTAATTAGACAGAAAGGGGGAGATGATGTGGGATGCCCTTCTGTATATATGCTGCTTTTATTGGTTGATGAATAAAGCTATTTGGGTGATGAATAAAGCTGTTTGGGTGATGAATAAAGCTGTTTGGGACAATGGCACAAAGTAAAGCCAGGTGAGAAATACAAACATTTATATATATATATATATATATATATATATATAGAGAGAGAGAGAGAGAGAGAGAGAGAGAAAGAGAGAGTAGGCAGAGTGAAGGAGACGTCACATAACTGCCTAAGGAGGTAGATGCCATGTAGCTGCCCAAGAAGCAAGAGGTAACAAACCACATGTCTCGTGGTAAAATATAAATAATAGAAATGGGTTAATTTAAGATGTAAGAGTTAGTTAATAAGAAATATGAGCTACACCTTACTAGACCTGGATGGAGGTGGGTGGTCCCTGGACTTCCCACAGGGCAGGGAACCCTGATTGCTCTTTGGGCTGACGAGGGAGGGGGACTTGATGGATGGGGGGAATGGGAGGCGGTGGCAGGGAAGAGACAGAAATCTTTAATAAATAAATAAATTAAAAAATAAAAAAAAGAAATATGAGCTATTGGCCAAACAGTGTCATAATTAATATAGTTTCTGTGTGATTATTTGGGTCTGGATTCTGTCAGGATTCAGTTACTAAGAGCACCTGCTGTGCATATTCACTACGTTCCTTTTAAAAGGGCGCTGACCACCACCTCCCACCTCTCTTCTCTCTTTACTTCTCTGCCTGTCTGTCTCCCCCACACACACCACCTCTCTCCTCTTCTGCTTCTCCTCTTCCCCTTCTCTTCCCCCTTTTTATGTTCCCTTTCCCTTAATAAAAAAACCTTCACATGAGTTCTGTCGCATGGCGTCTTTCTCTCTCATGCCGCTTTTTAAATTAC